TAGCTGCAGCACATTATAAAAGAGAACCCCTGCTCCACACATGTTACAGCCTAAATAGGAAGAAAGGCAAAGTGAGAAACGAGATAAGAGTAGGAAAAAAGATTAGATTTACTGATTGCCTGAAATCACGCAACAGGTCTGTGGCAGAATACTAAACACATTGCCTTTCTGAGTTTGAAAGACTGCTAGGCACTTGTGATTTGGTGAGAAAGCTACATGCAATCCTACTCTATTTTCTGCTCTTACCTACCACAAGAGTGAACTTAGAGAGGCCTAGTGCTGCTTCTCTGTACAGAGATGAATTTCACAAGGAATGCTATTCTTCTCTGAAAAGTGACTTTCTAGAGATGTCATCATGTGGTACCATATTTATGAATTCTTACTAGTTCCAGATCAAAGTTGCTCAGCTTAACAGTGAAAAAGATGGTTATTCTAATCTCCAGCCTGGCAAATACATCCTGTGATCTGAAAACCCAAGTCACATTTTCTGGCATATTAATCATGACTGAGTTGCATCTTAGTTACATATTTTGATGAAGATACTCACTCTGAAGGGGAATATAGATGCCTGTTCCAGGGGGTATGGGCTCTGAGATGTTGAACATGGGTAAAACACGACAAAAACTTACTTTAGTTAGTAAAGGCAGAAGATGTGTCCCTTACTATACTTTCAGTAAGACTTGGGCTTCTGAGACTCAGATGCTTAAAAATATTTAGATGCTTAACATGCATGAATTGGGTTTAAGTCTGTTTTGAAACTGGGATTTAGGTACCTTAAGTCACTTAACTGGTTTTTAAAGCTCCAGTTCCCCATTTCACAATTCCCTCCTTTACAATTACCCATCCCCCCAATCTTTACAAGTTGCTTGCATTCCTAAAATCACTTGTTTGTTCAGCATGGTGACGTGCAGCAAATTCACTTCTCTCTCCTTTTCTATATTGCCAGTTGATGCCTAAACCTTGTAAAAAAAAGACCAAAGTAAAGCATTGGCCTCAGTATCTAAAACAGCAAAACTAGAGTCTTGAATGACTTGGGATGTCATTGACAGACTTTTTCAATTGCACAATGAAGGAAAGGATTCAGGACATTTGTTTTCAATTATTTTAATTTTGAGTTTCACTTAGTTAATGAAACGCTTCCAATTTCATCCAAAGCTGTCTTTAAAAACACATTAAAGAAGGCTGCAATGTCAAAGCCAAAGTATCCTACTGCTCTTGTGCCCACAGTTTGAAATGAAACAAATGTCTCTGTGTACCAAGCTACACCCTATTACGTTTTGTAGCTGTGCAAGCTCAGCCAATCAGGACACTAACACCCCATAAATCACTTTCCCATTGAATAACCAGCTGAAAGTATTTTTTTTCCAAATACAAAGAGACAGAACAACCCCCAGTAGGACTAAGAAAGAAGTCTAATTCCTGTCCACATAGCCAGTGGCTACTCTACCGAGATTGCCATTGAGGACACAAATACAGGAGGTGGTGGATTTTGAAAGGGATTCAATGAAGGCAGGACACACAGGAGAGCAGACAAGAGGTCAATGGGAAGTTCATGATTAAGCTTTCTCCCAGAATAAATGTGAGGGTCGGGTGTGGTTGGGATTTTGCTTTCTTTGCAGTGCAATGACACAAAAGGGCAAATTCTACATTAGTGTAGTTCCATTCCATTTACTTCTCATGGGATACGATTTTTTCTCAGAGTTTAAAGAGTAAGGATGGCAGAGAGGAAAGCAACCCATTATGAACACATGGAGAGCTTATAGCCTGTTCCTCACCTAATGCAACGATATGGCTGTAACCATCACTTTAGATGTAACCCTAAGTATAAATTGAGGACCACGGGAGTTTTACCTTTGAGGTCCACAGAGCCAGGGTGGCCCCCTGAGTCTGCTTTCAGCAAGGCTTTGTTCCAACTTTCCTTTCTTGAAACAAAGCAAACAAAAGGAAAAGCCACAACCAAAGAAATAACATTTCAAAATACGTAACAACCTAATGATCCTTTTGGACAAAACATACTAAAAGATTAATCTTAACCCTCCCCCCAGAAAGGCCCCATGACAAACCAGAAAAAAACTTAACAAACTTATAGCAAGATGGAGCAGCAGAGGAGGTCCAGGCCATGAAACAATGATCTAATGAATCTGAGAGGAACCAGACTGTTCATTGGCCTTTCCATTTAGGAAGCAGCAGGCTTCCAGAAGATTCATGTAACTGAAACCCTCAAAAGTGAATAAAGCGATCTATCACATGATAGAGAGAAAAGAAGGAAAGTGCCAACTAGACATGACCAACAATTGCATACAGGTGAACCTGCCATAAATAATTGGTCCAGGAGATTTTCCAAGGAACGAACAGCTTCCATGTGCTACAGATGTTGCAGCAGAAGCCCTGGGAAACCAGAGTTCAGATGTTCCAAAAATGTTTATGCTGCTTCAGAAGGAGCGGGGGGAATAAACAAAAGAAAAAGCAGGCCTCGCAACACATTGGAGCTCAGCAAATCTCTTAATCCTGGAACCAGCAGGCAGCCAGAGTGACTGATGCTGAAAATCCAGATGCCAACGGATGGAGACAGGGGAGTTGAAAAATGGGCTACAGGTTTGCACAAGCTTCCCCCACAGCTGGTGCTTTGTCCACTGGGAAGAATGCCTTTGCAATCCACATAATACAGCTTCATTCAACCTGCTCCCCCCCACCCCCCAACTGACTGAGGCCCCCTCTCCCCAGCACGCTAGAGCACAGGGAGGCCCTGGAGAGCAGAACTGCCTGATTGTCTGAGGGTGCTGAGCTCCTGGGCAGGACTGACAAATCCTGTCCCTTTTTCCTGTGGTGGAACAGCACTGCTGCCTAGGGGGAAGGGAGAGGGAGCTCCACCGCTCTGCAGCCAGGTGAAAGTTTAATCCTTAGTGCAGAAAGACACTTTGTTTCCTGCTGAGTCCAAAGCCATGGAGCAGGAGGGCTTGTCAGCATCAAATAGAAAAACCAACTGCAGGTTTTGATAAGTCAGCTAATTAAATGGCATGGACCACGGCACATGCCGTGTTGTCGTGAACTTGGTCATGATAGGCCCAAATTCAAATCAGTTGTGTAGGCACCTATAAGGCATTGGGCACTGTTATACCAGGAGGGAAATTCCCTTTGCCAAAGTTGAGTCCCTATGATCCCTATACAATAATCATAAAAATTCAGAGGTACCTCTGTCCTCTATGCAAAGAAAGGGGAGAAGGAGGTACCTCCAAACAGCAGTTCAGAAAGCCTGTTAGTACCAGGAGCTAGAAAGTGCTAAACACAGGGATGTGCCTGCTCTCCTGCCTTTCACTGGAGCTTGACTCTTGACTCACCCTGTGGTTGAGGTTCACCATACCTAGATCACTTCTGAGGATGGGTGGCCACATTATATTATTTTCTCCCTCAAGCTTTCCCCATTTGTTTTTAATTTGATCGTTCTGGTAGAGCAAAATCCTCTTTTGAGCAGAAATTGTCCCCACAGTTGTGACAGAAGTATTGCTCTCATGTTGTGAATGCCATTGCTGCAGGATGCCCTTTTTCACCCAGTCAGCACTCTGCTCTGTAGCCTCTTGCCAAGCCAAATAAAATAACAGATAACAAGAATGAAAATCTCTGGATGATCTTGAAGAAAATAGCATCTGTGTCTCAAATGCAATCACATTTTACATTCCACTATAGAAGGAAATTCACCTGGTTTTATTTAGTCTCCATATGGCCGTGTGCTGTTGGCTGGCTTCCAGTTTATCTCCATCTATATTTTTACTGTGGTAGTGGTTCTCCATTCGTATCGTAGGCATCCTGCATGTTTGATTTTCATTTAGGCGCCCAGTTGGATTTTTTTTTAATGCCTGTTATAAAAAGCGTAAGGGAACTGGGCAATTCATGCACTCAGGATTCTGTTCCCACAACAAGGTGCTTAAGATAAAGGAATTGGCTTGGTATGATTATTTGATATGAGAAAGATTATATGGGCAATGAACATCTGTATCTCAGCTACAGTTAAGGGCTCTGAACTCTGTGTCATGTGCCAGCAACCTTCTGCCAAAAAAATACATATTTTTTTATTTACAACCTCATCGTGCTTATATAAGGCATACACAGTATGCAAAGCAACTCACTGAAAAAAAGATTAGTGTGTTGAAATCACACAGGAAATTATGCAGTTGATACCTGAACCTGAAAGCTGTAGATCCCATCCAGAAACTTCTATCTTTTCACAAAGCTGTGGTAATATAAGGCAATTTATCCTCATTTTCAAATCTGAACTTGCTGATACAGATTCAAAGGTGTTTTGTGCTGACATAGTACACTGCAGTCTATACAAGCTTGCAAAAGGTGCCAGTAATTTACTTCTCTTTCTTATTTACTCATCCATTCATTCACCCTTATGCAGGTTCCAACTCAAGGCCTGTGCATCACTTAAAACCTGCTGAAATTCATAAAGTTTAAATTAAATTTAAGTAGTGCACAGATATTGCCTTCTCTTTCTCTGCGGGGTGAGTTTCAGCATGAGTTCAGTCAGCACGGATAAAAAAGAATGGATAAAACAGTTGGAATAAAATCAAAACTGAACTCCTGCCAAATCCTTAAACTGACCCAAAGAAAACTTGTTTTTGAGATAAGTTCAAATTACATTTTCCCCTAGTTATTTTCCATGTTGGCATTTGACTTAAAGGAGGGTTGCATACCTCCCTCTCTTCCCTAGGGCGTTCTCTGCCACGCTGTCTGTAATCCCTACTGGTTCTTTAAAAGAAGGCAATCTGGAGCTCCCAGAAACCAACCTGTGAATATCAATGAAAGTCACATGACTTGCAGGCTAGACATCAGGTAATCGGCGAAAGTCATAGGACCTGCAGTCTACCCTTTTACTGTGTGACTTAGGAGGATAATCTAGTCATGAACAGACCAGACTAATGCATGAGAGAGAGTGACACCATTGCCTCAAAACCCCTGTTCTTCTTTGTAACAAAACACCCTAACAAAGTTGTGCAAGGGGTTCCATGGTGTAATGGTTAGCACGCTAGGCTCTGAATCCAGTGATCCAAGTTCAAGTCTTGGTGGAACCTCAATATTTAGTGCAGTGGAAGCATGCTGGGCCCATAACCCAGAGGTCAATGGATTGAAGGCATCCTCTGCTAGTCTTCCATTTAGTTGCTCCCACATGGTCTAGCAGTTAGGATTCCTGGTTTTCACCCAGGTGGCAGGGGTTCGATTCGCAGTGTGAGAATGTCTTTTCTTTAGAGACCTGTGCAAAGGGCTCCATGGTGTAATGGTTAGCACTCTGGACTCTGAACCCAGGGATCTGAGTTCAAATCTCAGTAGAGCCTAAAGACCTTTCATCAATGACTTGGATGTTGGTGTGAGGTGTAGACTGTCCAAGTTTGAGGACCATACTAAATTGTGGGGTGAAGTGCACCCACTGGAGGTTAGGGAATGATTGCAGGCAGACATGGGCAGGTTAGAAAAGTGGGCAGTACACACTAAGATGCAGTACAACAAAGACAAGTGCAGAGTGCTGCACCTAGAGCACAATAATATCCAGCACACCTACTGGCTGGGAAGTGACCCTCTAAACAGCACAGAAGTGGAAAGAGATCTTGGAGTCATAGTGGACTCCAAGATGAACACAAGTTGTCAAAATCATCAGCAAAGCTAACCACATGTACTCAAATAAATCCAAGAAGGTGATACTTCCTCACTATGTGGCATTGATCAGACCACAGTTGGAGTACTGCATCCAGTTCTGGGTGCTGCACTTCAAGAAGGATGTTGATAGACTTGAGAGGAGATAGAGGAGGGCCACTTGTATGGTTAGGGACTTGCAGGACAAGTCCTATAAGGAGAGACTGAGGGACCTGGACCTCTTCAGCCTCTGCAAGAGAAGGCTGAGAGGTGATCTTGTGGCCACCTACAAATTCATTAGGGGGACACAGCAAGGGATCAGAGATGCTTTGTTCACCAGGGTGCCTCTTGGGGTAACGAGGAAACTGACAGAGAGCAGATTTAAGCTAGATATCAGGGAAAAACTTCTTCACAGTAAGGGTGGCCAAAATTTGGAATGGGCTTCCAAGGGAGGTGGTGCTCTCCCCTTCTTTAAGAGAAGGCTGGATGGGCATCTGGCTGGGATCATCTGACCCCAGCACTCTTTCCTGCCCAGGGCAGAGGGTTGAACTCAATGATCTGTTGAGGTCCCTTCCAACCCTAGCATCTATGAACCCCCTTCTTAGAGCTATAAGGCATGCAAAAAAGTCCTTTAGCTCTGACAAGCTTAACTGTACAGTTTCCTTTATAAGACAGAAACAGATTTCTGTAATGATCACACGATACAGTAACTGACCAAAATAGTGCTGGTTCAAAACTTGGTCCCAGTCATGAGCTCCATGCATCCATCCATTCACTGGACGGCCAACTCTGATGATAGGTTAAGTCTGCTCTACCAATTTGACAACAACTGGCAGATGGAGCAGAAGGAAAAGAAAAGGAATGGACATATTAATCTTGCAGCCATGCATAGATCTATGGGAAGGAATGAGAGTGCCAGGACCAGAAGAGTTACTTGCCCCAAACAAAATGTTTGCCACTGTTTCCTGAAAGAAGGCATCTGCCTGGTGAAAGAATCCTTCCGCAGTATTATGTGTGTGAAGCAAATAAGACCACTGTGAGGCTGGAGCATAAGGGCCTAATCTAACACATGACGGAAATGTGGGCGGGGGGGGTTTCCAACTGACTAATAGTGTAACAATGGGTGAATGAGCAGGGCATGAGCCCTGGGCACTGCCTAAGGAACAGTTGCCAGAATGGACCTAGGGTGGGACCTTACTGCCCTGTTCTCCTCCCCCCTGCATGCTTCCTCCTGCACTTCCGCTGCAGTGACTCCAGCTCTGGCCATGGGGAGGGGAGAGCAGCTGTAGCAGTGCACAGTGCCCAGTGTGATACCCATGCTGGTGCCAGTGCATGGTACAAGAGTGGTGACCAGAGGTTTGCTCCTGCAGGGGGTAAATCTCACCTCCTTTTTTTGCTACAAAGTTAATTATTTAAATGGATGCTGAACACACATTGGCAGCAAAAAAAGGAGGTGAAGAAGAGATGTGCTATCAGCTTCAATTTACGGGGGGACAATTGAGACACAGAGGGCGTGCCTACACGAGATGCCTTAATGCGCAGTGGACTGTTCTACTGTGTATTAGCACATCACAGCAAAAACCGGGCTAATACCCTAATGCGCAATACAATTAGTCTACTGCGCGTTAAGCATCACAAAAAAGTTTGCCTTTGCTACTGTGCATTAGTACAGCTACTGCACCTTTATCTAGTACCTCATATTAGAGATAATAAACTTAATGCACAGTAGCAAAAGCACATTAATGAACATGTAGACATGCCCAGAGAAACTAAGGACCAAACGCAAAAGGATATTTAGGTATCTAACGTGTATTCAGAAACCAGAAGTCCCCTGAATATTTTGCCTAAGGTCCTACGGGGCAGAACAGAGGTTGAACCCAGATTTCTGAAGTCCCACACTAGTACCGTAAGCAGCAGATCATCTTTCCTTACTAATGCAAATGCACAAATCAGTTTGTCTTTGTGAAACACATGCGTGTGTGTTCCAGGCCTGCATAACCAGAACTGGTTACCAGAACTGATGTAGAGGTGGACTTTGCAAGGACAGGAAGGGAAGGAAACCTCCTCCCTGGCTGCAGAGCAGTAATAGGGCTGCCCAGTCATTCCAGTGCTCTCCAACTCATAGCCTTGTCCTGCAAGGTGAAATTTCATATAGGAGCTTTTGCTTCCACCCAAAGCACCCAAACCATGGAGAGGCAGGTTTCAGAGTACACAGCAACCCAAATCCTGCCCATCCCCATTCCTCCATCAGCATGTTACAATGGAGCCCCATTTCTCTGCACTGTCTGGGACTATAATCCAGAGGAGCAGGCCAGAGAGCAGCCCAGTAACACAATAGCCATGATAACAAAAGAGCTCTTGGTGCCACTAGTTCAGAGAATCTGAAGATAATGATGTCAGCTCATGGAACAAAATGCAAACAGACCCTGAACATCTTGACACCCAAGAGAAAGTGCATGTGGGGGTTGGAAGAGTTCTCTGGCACGTCTCGAAGAAGAAAAGCAGTGCTATCTAATGAGATGTGTCAGCTTGTGTAGATGGGGAACAAATGAAAAACAGCTGCTTTTCACCAGCTTTTCTCCCATTTAAAAAAAAAAAAGAGAAAAGATGGGGAAGATTCACTGATGAGCTGTTATCTGAATTTACTGCCAGCATCTGACCCACAGTGGGGTCTTTTTCTCCTTAGATTTATGATCTGGTTTCCCATCATGTCATGACATCATCCAGAGTGATGAATTTCATGACCATGCACACACATCTCATTGGAAGGAGGGTGGACTCTCAAATCTTCCCATCATCTGTGCAGCCTGCACCCCAGCAGCAGTCCCCAGATGCCCACATTTCTGAGAAACTGCACAGCACATCTGTGATTGACATAATCAGAGGAAACCACCCACCTCCAGGCTTCACTGCATTCAGGGCAGTTTGAGAGGGATTTGTATACACCTCCAATTAAAAGCAACATATGCCCCTGTGTCCTTATGCCCCACCCCAATTCTGCACTTTTCCTCCAAGGAAGTGAGACAGCTTTGTGTTCATAAGTATGATTTATTTTGCTCTCTTTTGGCAGTAAAATATATTAAATCCTTTAGAGACTGGGTGGGAATCTGAATTGCCTTCTTTATCACTAGAGCTAAGCTCTGTTTCAAAAGTCAGCGGCTAGAACACAGGCTGGCTGGCAAATTCCCCAGTTAAGCTAGAAGCCTGGGCCCTTTTAGCAGATCAGTCAGAGTCCAGTCAACTGGTCAGAAGCTTAACTATAGCTCAGTAAAGATTTTTGTGATTTTCTGACCTGAGAGAGGGACATTGACTGAACAAAAATGATGGAAACCATTCTATTTTTTATAAGACTATCTTTGGTCCCATTTGTTTTTTCTGACTGGATTTCTTAATGTAGGTTTTAATGGGCATGTCTACACATTCATTAATTCACTGTAATTGCAGGGGGATTATCTCTTTATTTTTTTAAAAGTGCCGGGGTCCACAGAAGTATTAGTTCTAGTGGCTAGAGCCAGGAGTGTTACCAGAGTCCGTAGTCAAGGGGCAAGCCAAAGTCAATGGGGGTTCACACACCAAGTCAGAGAGGTTGCCAGGAATTCAGCCAAAGTCAAACTGGGGTCCCTAAATTCAGGGACTGAGTACATAGGCAGGAATACAGGAACAGATACCAGGGAAGTCACATGGGTGAGAACTATTCACAGACTCAAGCCAGTCTGTTGTGCAGCCAGAGCCAGGTGCTACAAGTGCTCCTTAAAAGCAGCCCTAGAACTGGTCAGCAGGCTGAGGCTCATCTGGCCCTGCTTACCTGAGATGAGTGCTGCTGATCTACTTGCCCAGGTGCAGTGCAGAGGCCTTACAAGAGACTCCCTTAGGATCTTTAGCTTTCACTTGCATTGCTCACTGGGTGCCTTGAATGGAATTCATGACCCTAACATCATATCTCAGAGGACCTCACCCCTAAGCCTGCACTGCAGTCAGCACTGGAATTTCTGGAATCCATCAGCATCAGAAGTTCAAAATCTGGTACTGGCTTTACACCCCTAGTCTGCTGGCCCAGAATTAAACAGCCTAGCAGGTTGAGGGATGCATAATGAACCAAATTCATCCATCTGAAATGTCACTGAAGCCAGTAGAGTTGCACTGGGATGAATGTGAGCCAATGGCTTTAGCAGTCCAGGGGAAATGCTTGTTACATTACAGTTAATCCCTATATAAATATATGCAAGGCAGCTGGAAGACTGTCAAGACTAAGGAGTCCTGTTCTCAAGGGTTTTCAAAATGCAGAGCACTGGAAAACATTCTCTTTAGCTGCAGATATGAGTATAAGCTGAAGTATTCCCTACTCAGTCTATGATATATGAACCATGTCTATTAAGAGGTCAGACAACAAAGAAAACCAGAAGCCAGGAGGAAAGAGTTTTCTAGGAATCTGGTTGCCATGGAGCAAGAGCAAGCATTCTCAGCCTCTTCAAAATAGTGGCACCTTTTTCTATATCAAGACCACCTTAGGAATCCCTTCCCATTAAGCCCATATCTAGTTAGCCCACCCAGCCCACTAGTAATAAGAAAGAAGCAGGGTGGCTAATGGTCCTCTGACTCCCCCCCACAGACCTCAGGTTAAGAATCCCAATCATAGAAACCACACTGGTTGTTCAATCCACTCTTCAACCAGTCTACAACTCCCACCTCACCCCTACTCCAACTTCATGGAGAGCAGACAGATGGGTTCAGACACACGTAAAACCAGGATAATGGCTTAAAAGAGTTGCAGGAATGCTGATGAATTAGGGAGGCAAAAAAGGGTGCTGCTATCATCTGGTCTGTTCTACTGGTTAGGATGAATCTTTCTTTGACTCAAGGTCAAGAAAGATGCTACCTCCTGGAGTGCTGGCTATTGTTTTGTGGAGTATATGATGTTGCTTCAGTGTAAGGCAAGCTTTATGCCCACGGTTCTCAACTGGGATGTTGCAACATACCCTGGGATGCAAGATACCCCTGGGATTTTATGACCCACATGCCTCTGTTTCTGGGAGGAGCATGTGGGGGCAGACTGGGAATCGCTATGGTCTAAGCCTGCTCTCCTGTCCTGCTTTAGGGTTATCAGAGAGCCCTAATACAGGAGGAGTGTGTGCATGGGCCACTTCTCTTCCCAAGCTGGCTGTGAAGTAGGCACATGGGGCAGTTTCACTTGGAGGCAGCAGCACCCAGTTGAAAAGCACTGAGGTAATTGGAGGCAGCACCAACAGTTGTTCACAACCAGGCTGTCACCTCGTTCCAAAGCGTGGTGGGGTCCCCCGGCTCTGAAAAGTTTGAGAACCACTGCTCTGTGCTATCACAGTTGATGGAGAGCTTTACCAAACCTTCACAGGCCATCCTAGTGTAGTCATCACTGTGCAGAAAATCCAATTTGCTTTGGAACGCTTCCAGTGCACTGTCCTGTCTTCATGGTCTCTTGACAAATCATTTTCAGCACATGTGGCAGTTCATGACCCCATATTTTAATAGACACCATCAGATTTTAGCAGGAGAATCCATCTATTTCAAGGAATTCTTAACTAGTCTTTGACCCAATACTGCGACCTAATATATTGGCATTGCTGCACAAAGACCTCATTTTCTCTTAACATTTGGCTCATTTCCATACTACTCCCAGGTCAAGTTCAATGGTAACCACTGTAGTGAATACATGCATTGAGTTACTCCAGAAAAAGTAAATAGCATCAATGCAAAAAAATGTAAATGTACATTTCTTTGCAGAATCTCCTGCTGCCAAGCACACAACCAGTTTATGTAGGCTCAGGAAAAATTCCCATTTGAATAATTATTGTTTTCTTATAAATTAGCTCCACAGAACAGTGCCACATGCCATAAAACAATCTTACATTACATGGACTTAAGCGGCAGAACTGGTATAATAAATCCTATGTCGAGTCACCAAATTCCTTGCATTCTTTGACTTCCCATTCTGTGTCAAATGTCAGATATCTTGCTGGGGTAACACAAGCTGCAGCCAGAGCTATGGGTTTGTGTGGGTTTTAATTGTTAAAGCAACATTCTCACAGAGAATGACAAAGTTCATAACCCTCATCAATGTCTGTCTTGTCCACTGGAAAAGCCAAGTCATTTTCATTCTTCTCATCTCTACTGTCCATTTGGGGGTTTAAGCTCCCAGTGGTCTAGTAGATGGTCTTGAAACCATATAGCATGCAGTACTCTCAGTCCCTGATTCTAGCCAGGACTCTGAGTGCTAGTGTAATGCCAACAAAAATTAGGATACTAATATGTTTGAGCCTATTGGCTCAGAAACTTGGGCTGTGATTAACCGTATCAAAATGGCAAGCCTACAGCATTCTCCCTTTGTACCAGTGCAGAGCAGCGGGGAACTGTATGACTCCTACATTATACAGAGCCAAGACAAAACCTAGGGATAACTTAGTTATCTTATTTTAAGGAGGTGAACATAGGCTGTATGTGATACCTTGGCTATGCACCCTCCACTCTTCATAAGGCTAAATTCCACCTTGTGAGCTATATAAGTCAATAGCGCCTACAATGCGGTTGGTGCATTCCTCGCCATCTTATGATCTGCCTGGAGTATTCCAAATCAGTCCAGTAAAGATACAGCACTGCAGGTTAAGAAACAACACTGAAGCCTCTCATGATGCTGGAACAAGCTTGAATTTTTGGAGGGACATTTCTCTGAAAAATGACTCTCACTTGAGTAATGTTCCAGTGAACTGTCACAACAGTAAACAACAAGCAAAATGACTGAACCAGAGTGCCTGACTTTGTTCATTGATGCTTCTCATTAATACTGTTAACTTTCCATCATGCACGCACACGCAAATTATTTTCAGGCAATCAGATGCCTCTTTTTTTTGCATATGAAGTAGAGTTTCGTCAGACAGACAGCACTGGTCAGTTCACCGGGAGTAGGCATTATAAAACTAAACTTGTCACATACTGCCTTTGCTTGGCATCTATAGATATTAAGAAATTTCCATTTTCTTTCTTTCATCCCCAATCAAATATCCTTTTTTCTAACCCATCTCTAAAGAAATAATAATTCTCACTAATGACCCTATGAGTTTTTAACACCAGACTTTAAATTTAGATGTGTTAATTTTTAGTAAATTGTCTTATGATTAAAGCTGGTCAAAAGAACACAAGGCAGAGGATGCTGACTTAGGATAAAGGAGCATTTTTGATGGAAGTTAAATATCTGCCTTTACATTGTGGAGGATTGGGTGTATATTCAAATGTTAAATTTGTTATCAGATAAGTTGGATTTGTTCATAAATAAAGTGAAAAGAAAAGAACCGGCCAGAAATTTTCTAAAAGAATGTTTTTCTGTTGGAAAATGCAGATTCAGCAACATCAAAACCTGCAGTGCCAATTTTGATAAAATTCTGACGGAAATGAGGAAGGTGTCTGATCAAACATCGCCTTCCAGGTTTTATTTGGCATCCAGCCTGGTTTCCTGCAAACTCCCTTGCCCAGCTCCTCAGCAGCCAGCTTGCCAAGTGACAAGAAACAAGAGTCTGGAAGCGACAGGAAATCCAGCTCCCAGGTGTATGGTCCCTTGGCAGCCAAAAGGTTATGAAAGCCCAGCATGTTTGTAAATGCTTCTGAAAATTCAAAATTAAATGTCATTTCAACCCAATTTTGTAATTCCTATTCCATAGGAAATTTTGAAATTAAGTCGTTTGTCCCATTTCTCTATTCTTTTTTTTTTAATGACCAAATTTCCATTTTGGGGTCAATTCTATCTGCAAGCTTTCTGGAGTTACCTAGAATTGAATTAGAAGGTTGTTGATTCATGGTGTCTGTTGGTGGGTATCAGGCAGAGGGTGTCCAGGAGCTCAGCCAGGGTGAGAACCCTCTAACCAGTTCCAGACCCACGCCCTGACCTGTAGCAGTCCCTTCCACAGGACCGGGCAGGCGTCAGCATCGGTCAGATCTGATGAGAAAAGCACTACATAGAAAGCCCTTGACCTCTCACAGCTCACCAGGATCTGCCAGAAGGCAAGTGATGTACTTCTTGGCACCACTCCTCTTCTCCAGGGCATAGAGGAAGCAGGAGCCACAGTCCATGACCCTAGAGGAGCTGGATGCAGGAGCAGATGAAAATTCCACAGGCGCAGGAGTCATCCAGACCTCGCTGCTCTTCTCACCTCTTCTGACACTCTGCACAAGTGTCAGACAACTCTACAGGTTGTCTGGCTTGGTGGCCAAGCGCTTCTTCAGCTCCAGCACTTCCCTCTCAAGCTGCGCTCTAGCTGCCTCTCTCTGTCGGGTGTACACCTGGGTGTAGTGGCAACAGTACTGCCTGACATGCACCTTCCTCACATCCCACCATCTCCAGGCCGAGGGAAAGGTCTGCTGCTACTCCTGCCAGGCCAGCCAGAACTCCCAAAAGGCAGCTAGAAAGTTGTTACTGAAGTGCCAGTAAGTGGGCCTCGGATGCTCAAGCTGCACTGTGACCTGAGCATATACTAGATAGTGGTTGCTGAAGGGGGCCAGTCTAATGCCAACATAGGTTTGGTCCAACCAGGAATGGTGTGCCTGCTGCTCCTCCACCCTGACAAAGGTGAAAGTGTTGGTATCATAGGGTGGTGAGCATGCCAGACGTCAACCGGGGAATGGTCAGCAATGATCCCCCACCGAGGATGTCTATGGCAGGCCTGTTCCACTCAGTGCCAGTGCAGTCTTCCACCTTGAGGGTGCCACTAAAGTCCCTGCTAAGGACCAGGTACTTGTGAAGGGTCAGGGTCCTGAGGTAAGCAGCCACTTAACAATAGAAATGGGTCATCTCTGGATTATGCACAAGAGCACAGATGTTCATCAGATTGTGGGCAAGCCCCTGGCACCACCTTGACAGTGAGGACCTCCAGTTGCAGACTCAGGGACAACAGGGTCGTGCCCCCCCCCGCCCCCTCCTCCCCGGATGTCTCCATGAGGTGGCTAAATTAGTCCCAATCTCCCCTGTCCAGCTGCCAGTTGGTTTCAGTGGCTGGAGTCGTATGGGTCTCCTGCAGAAAAAGAACAGTATACCCTCCCTCCTGGAGAAAGGAGAGTACCTGGCACCTGCGGAGACTCATCCTGCAGCCACATATGTTGAGGATCACAGTGAGGGACCTCATCGGTGGGGCATGCTGTTAAGTTTAGCAGGGCTTTCATGGGAGACAATGCCAGCTGCAGGGCTCATTAGGAATCCCAACTCCCTCCCATAGGTGTAGAGGGCATCATGGAAGCTGAAGGCCTGCTGATAGTTCCTGGTGTTGCTCTGCTTATGCCCCTTGCCTTCTCCCACCAGAGCCTTCACTGAGTTGAGGACTTGGTGGAAACCCCCCCAGCGGTCCAGGGTGAGCTGCACCTTTTTTGCAGAATGCAGCATGCTTTCCAGGAACTGGAGCAGCTCCTTTCTGGGTATGGCCAGAGCCAAGAGGCCTGCAGGCTCTATGGAGCCCCCTTCCACCTGGTCATCCTTCTCCATCTCCTGTGGTTTGGCAGGCTCCTCCTGACTGCTGGGAGGAGTGAATTATTCTGCCCCCCTCCTCCCCTCCAGCTAGCAGAAGTAGATGGTGTTTGCTGGCAGAAGACCTCCCCTCACCCCCAAGAGGGGACGGAGGTTGTAGGTCCAAGTGAAGGTAGTGGTGGTGGAGAGAGAAGGAGCCTGCCCCTACTCAGCAGAGCTTCTGCCACTCCCTGGTCCAGCAACTCCAGCAGCATCAGGGAAAAGTGGTGCCCCCCCCCCACAGTGGTCACAGGAGACTGGGCAAAATGGACCTATGGTCTGACACAGTAAATGGCCATTCTTGTGTTCTATGTAAGATGGGTAAGGAACTGTCTAAAGGGGAGATGACAAGGGCTTGTATTGAAAAAGGAAGTATTAGGGTAAAAGAAGTGACTAGTGGAATTTCTCAAGGCTCAATTTTGGGAGAGATTAATTTAATATTTTCATTAATGACCTGGAAATAAAAAGTAGGTGTGAGCTCTTTTATCACAGGAAGTTGGTAGGCCATGTCAACACATAAGAGGGTCAAGATATCATAGAGAAAAAAAAGTGAATGATCTTGATGTCTGAAGTAAAAATGAGAATAACTGCCATGAACAACATTAGGAAATGACAAAGAAGGAGATAGACCCAGATGATTTAGTTCACTACAGGATGACTATGAGGCAACAACATGACATAATTGTGAAAAAAGGAAATGCAGTTATAGGATGTATTAGGCTAGGTGTTTCCAGCAGAAACAGTGAAGCATTAATGCCACTGCACAAGGAACTGGTGAGGCCTCATCTGAAATAATGTGTACATACAGTTCTGGTTATCCATGTTTAGTAGAGGTGGATTCAGATCAGAACAGGTCCACAGAAGGACTTCTAAGATGATCAGAGATGACAGAGCACCTATCTTATGAGACAGAATGAAAGCGCTTAGCTTTTTTAGCTCAGTGAAGCAAAAGCTGAGAAGGAATATGATTCCTCTCTATAAATACTCCAAAGGAGTATACACTGGGGAGAGAGAATAGCTACTTAGGTAATAAACAATGTTGGCACAAGAACAAGTAGATATAAACTGGACATGAATATATGTAGGCTGGAAATGAGAGAGTTTCTAAGATCACAAGAATGATATTCTGGAACAGCCTTCCAGAATGAGTTGAGTGCAAGGAGAAACCTAACTGTTTTCAACGTGGAACATGATAACTTTATAACTTGATTATATTACATGCTTGCTTTTGACAGCAGGGAAGAGGAGTCAATAACCAACGGGGCCTCTTTGGGTCATATATCCCATGTTCTTAATATTAAGGACCTCCAAATAACAGGATGGAAGTAAATGAACATAGACAAGTAAGTCATACAAGCCTTCCCCTCACAGGGAAGAAAGCAAATTCAAAAAGAAAGTTACAAAGGTTCAGGTGACACTAATTTATTCTATAGCAGTTGATCTTGTGAGTATGTGTGTGCGCACACGAATATACTAATAAGGGACAGAATATCCATATCCAGATAGATGACTGTCCCTACAGAGCTTCGGACCCAGGTTTGGGCCCATCTCCAATATATGGTATTTTCTCACACACATCATGTATCAGGGAGCATGAATCAAAAATCAGCCCCCAAAATTGAGATTTGCGTATTAAGTAGAAAAGCTGATTTTCTGCCCAGGGTAGAAACTCCCTAGTTTGATTCCTGCTCCACAGTGCAGTAGTTGTTGCATTACTATTCAGACAGCAGAAGAAGTCATTTTACCTAATGGCCCATTTTTCTTCACTCCGGAGGTATTAGGATCATCTCTCCTTTTTAATGGTCTTGATGTTCCCCTACTTAACCTAACCATTCTTTGGGCAATTTTGTTGTTGGCTATCTGCACCTAGTCCCTCTCCTCCTATTTTTATAGTCTTGGAGACTCTTTAGCTCTTTTCAAAATCATAGATCCACACATGGAAACCAGTGTTCAGCAACAGCGAGGGTTTCAGTGTTAAGCAGAAAAGGGAGGGTAAATCAGCTGAAGGTCATGCTCTTACCCTGCTCTATGTAGCCATAACTCTGGAAAAAACTTTTTTCTTCATTCTGCCTTTCAAAAGCAAGGTGCATTCTGCAGCCTGCTGTATGTGAGAAAATACTGTAATGTTTCAGAAGCAGGTAAACGGGAGCATAAGACTCCAGTGAGAGCTGTGCAGACTTGACAGGCACAATCGATGTGAAAATGTACACAGTGCTCTTGCAAAGCAGCTTCAGTGCTCTTCCATTTCAGCTTCATGTTCTTAGTTCTGAATAAGGCTCAGTGGTGTCTCCATCTCTTTTGCTGGCTGGGGGTGGATTGTTTGCACCTGTGAGCTTTTTCATTTTCATCTAAATTACATGGCCCTGGGCCTGCAGCTTCCTGACACTGACGGAAATTGATTACGATAAAAACAAGCGGGGCGGTTACCACTAGATTCATTTCATCCCTCTTGTGCCTTTGCTTGGAACTGATCCTACAATGCTGTTCCAACTGGTCTGTATTCTGGCAGCTCTGGCAAGGGCTTGGGAAGGAAAACACCTGGCATTCTTTAGCCTCAAGACAAAAAAAAAATGTGGAGGTGTGGAATTCACTTTTTCTCTCTTTCTTCCATCTCAAGGAAAGAGACACCATAGAAGACTGCACCAGATAACCTTAAACACCAGAAGGTCCATCTTAGCTAAGGGTCTGCTCCCTTCCCCTCTTTGCATTCCTGTGCTGACATACCCATTTGGCCGAAACAGTCAAAGCTGAACTTATTCTGCACACCAGTCTGATTATAACAAGCCTAGGAAACCACAAATAAAGCACATGGATTTGGAGTTTAAGGTCTCTTCCCAGCTATGACCAACAGAAAACATCTGTTGGGGGGAGGAACTGTTCAGTTACTATCTGAAATGTCAGTGAAACCCAAGAGGAAAGGAACTGAATACAGCAATTACACTAACCTCACATAGCTCTCACTGTAGTAATTGAACGTAGCTAATTTGCACTGATTCACTGGAGCCTTTTCATGCTAACTCAATCCACAAAATAAGAATGTTATGAAAGAAAGGGAAAAATCCCCTCAAATGATCTCTATTTAAAAAAAGAAAAAACCCCAAACTCCTGCGAGGGAGATTTCAGCCAAAAGAACAAGAATACTAGCACTAAATCATTTCAGGCAAATCCAACGTTCTTCAGTTTCAGCTGAAGAATGAATCATTGAAGATTCCCATAAAGTTCTGATTTAATGAGAGCACAAGCGGGTGGATTCAAAACAGCCTCCTGTCTCTGGTCTTGATGAAGCAACCTCCACTTTTCATGGGGTGGGTGTAGCAGCACTACCTCCATCCTAAACAATTTGCTTGTGATTGGAACTCGACTCACGAAGTCCACTTGAAACTAAAGAAAACCTTCTTAGTCTGTTCAGCTCTTTAAAAATCAAACACATTGTTACTCATTTATATAGAAATCCATACTGAAGCCAGTGCCAAGGTACCTAGACCTTCTTAGTGTAGCAATCAATGGCACATCTGCAACCTGTAATAGAACCCTTGGCTTCTTAATGAAAAACTCCGATCTCTTTGATAACATCTAGCCAAACAGAGACCATCAACTATGCCCTACAGCTCACCACAGTTAGCCAGTGATGGACCATCAGAGTGGGCAAGTCTCAGATGTGGGAGCCCTCTGCTGAAAGCAGTCTCTTGTCCAGCATAAGGAACCCCAAAGGCATAGCACCGAACACACCACCCGGTGGGTAGGGGCAAAAGTTCTGACCACATTTGCACCCTTCCAATCTGGGACTATTGTGAAAACCTGGTGTGGTCACTTATGGCAGCACTACACTACGGTACCTATGATGGGAATTCACCCCAATGCAGGTATCCAAGGGCCCCTCTTGCTGCCAGAAAGGTATATAGGGACCACAGCAGAGAGAGGAATCTCTCCTGTGCATCTCGGGACATCTAGGGCTAAAAGCCTGTGGCAGATCTCTAGACAGTATGGATCACTCAGCACTGGCACTGCATGCTCACAATGTCTCATGCTACTCCAGAGAACCAGAGGACCCGGAACTAACTGAATTGGCATGGGATCTTGGAAACATATCCCTGAGCAGAGCATAATGCAGTGAGCTAATGCAGAGGCTGCAAAGATACAGATCACTGTGGTGGGCTTCACAGCAGAAAGAGGCACTTCCCAGGCCAGCCACACATGGAAAGTGATACTGTGGGCAAAGTCTTACAGCAGCAGAGCCATGGGAGTGCCAAAACGAGCACTCCCAACCCCCTTGTGTTGTAGCCATCATAGCATAGGGGTTTTTAAGGAGGGATTTGAAGAACAGTAAAGTGGCTTTGTGGGTGTTTACAGGATGCTCCCCTCACACATGAGCTGGCAACGGAGTCCAGCATCCAGGGCCAAACAAAAGCAGCAGCTATTGATACTTCTGCACTTTAATCCTGTAATTTTGTCTTAGCTTCAGTCACAGCAGCAACACCATGAGCAGGGTTAGATGCCACGGTAGATAAAGCACTGGCATCGTGTACACCAGTCTCACCCACACCGGGTTCAGGAGAGCTGCACAAGGAGGATCAGGAATCAGACATTTTCAAGTGTAAAGGAATAGTGTAGATCTCTGGATCCTCACTGCATGGAGCACAGGCCCGAAGTGCTAGTCTAGTGCTTGGTAAAAAGCTCAGTTCCTACTACCATTTCTGTACAGCCTATCAAACCAGGCCTCACAGACAGAATCTTGGCAATGGAAAGGAGGGGCTGTAAGGTTTTAGCTTTGTTCATGACCTGGCTGCATTTCACATCTACTCTACATCCCCACCCATGCTCCAAAGAAGAACTTTCCCCTCCAATCCAGCCCAACACTGTTTCCACCCTTGCTCCACCATTAGGCCCTACACCGATCAAGGCCAGCTATCTTCCTTTCGATAGCAAGGGCTGTTACTATGACTGATGAGCTCCTTCATAGATTTCATAGATTTCATAGACATTTGGGCTGGAAGGGACCCCAGAGGATCATTGAATCCAGCCCCCTACCCCATGGGCAGGAAGTCAGCAGAGATCATAGGATCCCACCAAGATAAACATCCAAATGTCTCCTGAAGGCATTGAAGGTAGGCGCTTGAACCACCTCCAGTGGCAGTCTATTCCAAACCTTGGGGGCTCGGACAGTAAAGAAGTTCTTCCTTATGTCCAGCCTGAATTGGTCGTGGTGGAGTTTGTAACCGTTCGATCTGGTCATCCCTGGGGGCGCTCTGGTGAACAATCGTTCCCCCAGATCCTGATAAGCACCCCTGATAAACTTATAGGTGGCCACCAGATCACCCCTGAGCCTGCGCTTTCCCAGGCTGAAGGGTCCCATAGCTCTCAGTCTCTCGTCATAAGCTCTGTTTTCCTGACCTCTGATCATGCGCGTGGCTCTTCTCTGGACTCTCTCAAGCTTCTCCACATCCTTTTTGAATTGTGGAGCCCAAAACTGGATGCAGTACTCCAGCTGCCACCTCACCAAGGCCGAGTACAAGGGGAGAATGACATCCTGGGATTTGCTTGAGAAGCATCTACGGATGCAAGCCAGGGTTTTGCTCGCTTTACTAGCTGCAGCATCACATTGAAGGCTCATGTTCATCTTGTGGTCAATCATGACCCCCAAGTCCCTTTCAT